GGCGGTGGCGGTGGCGGCGGCAGCGTTGGTGGAGGCGGCGGCGGCGGCAGTGGTGGTGGTCGTCGTAATGGTCGTCGTAGTCGTAGTTGTCGTAGTGATAGTAGTAGTAGTAGTAGTAGTAGTAGTAGTAGAAGTAGTAGTAGTAGTAGTAGTAGTACCAGTACCAGTACCAGTAGTAGTGGTGGTACTAGTAGTAGTGCTATAGTACTAGTAGTACTAGTAGTACTAGTAGTACTAGTAGTACTAGTACTACTACTGCTGCTACTACTAGTAGTAGTACTAGTAGCAGCAGCAGCAGCAGCCGCCGCCGTCGTAGTCCTCGTCCTCGCAGTAGCCGTAAGTAGGCGTAAGTAGGCGTAAGTAGCAGTAGCAGTAGCAGTAGTAGCAGTAGTACTAGCAGCAGAAGTAGAAGTAGCAGCAGCAGCAGCAGCAGCAGCAGCAGCAGCAGCAGCAGCAGCAGCAGCAACAGCAATAGCAGTAGCCATATTACCGCCAGTAGCAGTAGGAGTGATTGCGCAGTAGACTCTTACCTTCTTTTACCAACATCGTTGGGATTTGTTCAAAGACTGCAAACAGCAATGCACTCATGTGCAGCATGAAATCTAGATCAATGATAACCATAACAGCCTTCTTCATTCGTTCACTGACATGATGAACACCGATGCTTGTCTCGTGTGGTTCCAGTATTCTCGACTCATTCAGGAAATCCAGTATCACCCCCTCACCCAATTCTTGAAGAGCTGGCCGGCAATGTAACCTGACAAGAAAGCAGAGTCATGACTCAGCCACCATTCGTTGGGATGAGCTGCTCTGCAAGCTCCTATGTATCCCCTATCAATCCAGAATTGCCCCCTCCGGAATGAATGTCTTCAAAATGCTCCAGCAACATGTGGTCACGACGGGATCTTGAAGGGCTTCAAGGGCTTCGGCTAGAGAATACCGTCGGCGCCGAACCCATCAATTATCGGTTTGGGAGTGTAGTTAGTCAACTGCAATTGCCTAAGGATCATGGAGGGATAGTGCTCCGCGAGACTCAGGACTTTACATGTAGTAGTTTCCATTTTCCTTTCCATTATCCTTATGAAGCCCCAATATATACCCCATGATACTATTGTAGTGTCCATTCTCTTTTCCGTTACTTAAAATCAAAAATGTTTGACGCTTAAACCCTAAACCCTAAAACCCCAAACCCTAACCTAAACCCTAAACAGG